AGCTTTTGTTACAAAGATAGCAATCATTGATTATATTTTGTTATAACTTATGACAAAGTTTCTTTGAATGAAAGAAGTATATAGGGGCATCAATCTTTGCAAGTTGTCTCTTTTTGGTCCTCACGGACCAGGTCAATCATCTTCATGAAGTAGTTTCAAATTGCCTTTTTACCAGTAAATTTTACAGCTTGAACTATAAGTAACACTTTTAACTCAATAAAATTGAGAAAACTCATAGATCTACAATTCTTCTAAATCTGCAACAAGGGAATGAATAATTTTTTTATTGATAATGACAGTGGAAAAAAATTATTGGCGATAATAAAAATGCAAATGAAACATGTTCAAAATAAGTAAAGAATCACCCAGCATAAATTAAATAGAAAAAAAAATTATTCCAAAAGAAAGCGGGATTAGAGTTTCTGTTTCATCCGATCATTGATAATCTGTGGCGCTCCATATATACTATATATTCTATGATTAAATACCTTGATCAAGATTTAAAAATAATAATAATAATTAAAGATAAGAAGTAAGGAAGACAAAATTGCGTTAAAGCGATGGTATGAACGCCTTTGGTTATTAAAAGGACAATTTGTTCAAGCGTCTGAACGGTACGAAGAGGCTTCGAGGCATGTTGATGTCATTCCACTTGATTTATCTGCGTCGTATTAAATGGAAGTTTAATTGAAATTAATTGTTACGAATTTACCGCGAGTGTGGCTGACCACGAGATTCTCTTCGTATCATTTCTACTCGGTATCTGCCTGGAGGCAGAAAGCAACAGAGATATACACTAAGAAAAAGGAAAAATTAAATGACTTCTCTTGATCTTGCAGGATAGAGGTTGCAGACAGTTTTCCAATCGAGTGAAGATGGGTCAAGATAATAAACTTCCATTATTACAGATCAAATAATTCCTTACGACACACGAGATCGTAGATTTATTCTTATATTATATTACCTTCTCAAAAAAAAAAAAGATTGAAACAGGTTTTTAAATTAAAAATTTATGTATAAATATAATTTGTGACATAAATCATAATTTCTCTTCAAAAAAAAGTCTAATTTACCAGTAAATTTGTTACATCTATTGTTGAAAAAGTCTAACAAAGAAGAATATAACTTGGCATGGTCAAATGCCATCCTGAGTTCTCAGGAAGTGCTTTGAATTTTTTAGTAGGTAGAGCTGAATAAAAACAAGTAAAGTTGATCTTAAATCAGCGGCCGGACTAAATTCTGTTGGACGCTAGTTGACTGATGAGATGACTTGAAATCTCAGTTGACAAATTGCTTGTTTTGAAATAATATAATAACTTAGAGAACTTTTGATAAGCCGTTGCACATGACTGCAACTTCATAAATCTCGTGTCTCTTGGAGACTCGTCTTTATACACAATTATGTTAAGCAGTTGAGTACAAAGCCGAAGTAAGACAGAATAGTTTTCTATTGTACTCCCGTTGCGCATTTTAATCCATAAATCAAGTTAATATGTTAATATTATTACTAGCAACCTACAGTCAATATGTAACTGCCGATAATTATGAATTATTATTAAAAAAAATCTTTGGCTTAAAGATTTATCGATATTTTTAATCTAAATACACATAGTTTGGTTAATTTTTTAATAAATTTGAATAATAATATTGCTATGACAGGATCAATTACCAATAATTTAATGGAAAATATCACGGAACAAATTTACAGAATCAACAAACTATTCAAAACTTCTCCTGAAACTTACAATAAAAAAATTGACCATCGCCAAAAATATATATAAAATTTTAAAAAGGCTCAAATTCACGTCGTCAAGGCCTTTCTGATGATACCAAATTTCATCAGGTATAGTAATCATTTAGTATCAATGTAAATTATAGCCATCAATGAAAAATAAAATAATAAATCAAAGCAAAAGTGTCAAAAATGATGAAGTTAATATTTAAATTTCCTAACAAGGCTTCTGTTCTTAGCTAATGCAACGCGACAGTGAATATATGTTGGCGTTGACGGCGTTGACTACGCCCACATGTTCATTAGACGGGATATAAGCTCGAGTAGGTGTACATACAGTTATTTCTATCAAAACATATACATGTATTATGTATAATGCATATAATGGATGTATGTGTCGTATGCATGGAGCTAGGAGTTTGAATAGATAGTCGGTAGGTTACATTACTGGTGGTACTACTATGCCAGTGATGTTGTTGTTATTACTGCACCATCAACTCCATACGGTATTAGAAAGGCTTGGACACCAGTAGTGATGCGCTAGCACAAGGTAAACCGCATAGTCTCGGAGGAATAATTGCCCGTTCAGGGCTACCCACTAGTTTAAAACTATCCTCGTGTGTTGGTTCACCCAGCTAGCTTGGCATACTATTCATCCTGACAGGAGACACCTAGTCTGGCTCTAGAAAAGCACCTGAGCAGCTTGGCTAAATAACACCACTTTACCGCCTTACTACTATTACTATTACCAACTCTGGATTATAGTCACATGATACGACAAACTGCAAGTGATCGGGTAATAAAAGCACGGAAAAAGCCATTCAGTGACTTTCCGGAGTCGTTAACCGAGTAGGAGGGTCGTTGACAGACCTCGTTGACACATTGCAATAGACTACGATAACGCACTTGCATTAGTTTCAAACCTCTATGTACCTACATTATTTATAATGTTAGATATCACTCTATATTTCAATGTACGATTCTGATCTTACTTTGGCTAGTTTTAATGAGACTGTATTTTTGCTAACTGAATGAAAACATACAAAATTTTTGGAAAGAATCTTGGTGAAAAATTTAATTTTAATTGAGGATTGTTTGTGAACGTTGGTTTACTTTTGCATTTTTGAATGTTATTTTATAGTTTAAAAATGCTCTTGGTTGATAATAATTTTTAACAATTTTATTTCTTAGCTGAAGAAATCAAAATTTTTCTCACAGTAACATACTTGTTGAAAAAAAGTTTTCTAGATTTGGGAAAAAACAATGTTGGATGAAAATTCGCAAATTGTCTAACTAAAATTGTTTTATTTTTTTTCCAAATCAAAAAGAATTTTTTTCAAAAAAAAAGTTACTGTAAGAAAAATTTCAATTTCTTCAGCTAAGGAATGAAATTGCTGAAAATTTACAACAAAATAATTTCTTATTACAACATTGCTAATTTTTTTTTTTAATTTTTTTTTCTCAGTGTAATTTGTAATAAATAACATACGATCCAAATTGATAAATTTCTGAAATTTGATCATTTACGTCTGAAGTTATCAATCTTTTACCTGATAACTAAGTTTTAGGGCCAGTTTTTCAATCCGGGATAAAATTTTATCCGAGATAAAAGTACCGCCAATAAAATAAAAAAAAAAATAAATAAATAATTCAGCGACGCGATATTGCTCTCAATTAGTTCCCCATGAATTTGGTCGTTTATTTAAATAAAAATAAATAAATGTATCATAAAAATAATAGTAACCTCTTATTGTGTCATTTAAATTATTTTAAATTAATTAACACAATCATAAATTAATAATAGATATGTCAAATGCAAGATATGAGCTCGAAGGTCTCAAAAGCATAGAACAGCTACTTTTTTAAGGTAATAAAGCTCAAAATAACACATAAATTGTAATTTGGAGCTTGAAGAGCTCAACAACATTATAAGTACAATTTCAAGCGCTTAGGTATGGAATTAGCGGGAAGTTACAGGGGTCTTCTTCAGGGTCATCCGTTTTCCTAATTTTTATTTTATTTATTTACAATCGGGAAATTGTCACAGTTGAAGGTGAATATTTCTGTGACATGTGGCTAATGTTTATTTATTTTAATTCAAAATTAGTGACTGAATTCAAGGAAAATTACTCGTAGGCAATATCACTGTGCTGAATTATTTATTTTTTTATCATAATGGCAGTACTTTTATCTTGGATAAAATTGTATCTCGGATTGAAAAACTAGCCCTTAGTATCCTGTCATTTAAAAAATTATGCTACGTTTGAACATTACATTTTAATAAATTTAAGATATTTGATTTGACATTTACAATATTCACAGAAATAAATTAATCAAGAATTGAGTTAAGAAATTTATTGATAGAACTTGAATTTTTGATTCTTTCAAAAAAACCAGCGATAAAAGTTTTCAAGTGATTTATGTAAATCATTTCTTCTTTAAAAATTTAAGCTTTTTGGGTTTCCCAAATTTTTTCGTATCAATAAAGCTCTCGAATTTTTTGGTTGGTTTTTTTGAAAACCTTTTTATGGTCAGAAGGCGAAGTCGATCAATAACGAGCGTAAAAATGGACGAGTTACGTTTTTCAGGTTTGTGTATTTCCTTTTTTGTTTTGTTTTTTTAAGTGTACTTAGTAAATGGCAAAGTTTGTAATAGAGCATAGTTATCCATTAAAATCTCGACATTTTTTGTTATTAGTTGTGACAGGTTAGAAAAATAGTGTACCAAGCGTGAACCAGCTTTACGTTATTTAGCTAAACTTTATAAAAGTTATCTCTGTTGATTGTGAAATACAGTTGACCAATAGATAAACCAATAGAGAATGGTACTTTTGGATATTGAAATTAATGAGTAAAACAGTCGAGAAAGACAGAATTCGTTTTAAGTATTGTTAATGAGTGTATACCTACTAATTCTTTAGCGAGTCATGTTATCATATTTTACCAAGTACACTCTAGTTTTATTTTTGTGAAATATGTAACTAGTTGAGTGTCACGAGCACATATAGAGAACGAAAGAGCCTGAAAAGATATAAACGAGGGTAACAAGAAAAAAAAATATATTTCATGTCTCTCAGTCGCTCTCAGAGGGGGTGGGAGAAATAATTATCTAAAAATAAATCCGTACTCTAACCGAAAATAATTTATATCTTCACCAAAAGAGCGGATATATTTATTTTTATTACTGTACAATTTATTATTATTCCTGATCTTGAATCTTCTCTAAAATTAAAATTAACAACTACACAAAATAGAATTAAAAAAAATAAATGTTTTTGTCTTGCTTTTTGTTACAGAAACTACCGTCACTCAGCAATAGCAAAACATCGCGGGATACAACTGACAACAACAATGGAAACCACTCCGCGTCTAACAATATCCACAACAATGTACCCCTGCATGATCCACTTAACACGAGTGTCCATGTTGACGCCTACGGTATGTCAAAAAATTTATTAAGTAAATAAATTCAGTAATTTTAATTAATAGAGTAATAATTTTTAATTAAAAAATTTCATTAGAAAAATGGAAAAAATTATTTGATTGAAGAAAAAAATTTTCCTTAAAATTTCAAAATATTATACTTTTTTAGTCAAAATAATATTCATGGATAAAGATTATTTTTATTGATTAAAGGTTTTCTATTAGTAACTAATAAAGATAAAAGTTTCTAGGAATAAATTTATATAAAATTTAAATAACGTTTCGTGTTTAAGGCGCACAAAGCTTAATTGAATATTAATAGTAATTGTAATTATAACTAAAATTAATTATTGAAACAAGTAATAAGATGACCAAGCATCCATTCAAATATGGTAATTTTATACGTATTCTAATCGCGTACTCTTTTACATTTAAAATTTTAAGTTTATAAACGATTTATTTATTTATATGTTTAGATATAATTGTCATAATCCCACGACCTTAAAATAGATTAATGTTGATTGTTAAGTCAATACAACTTAAATATTGTTAATTCTCATGACGATTACTTGTTGCTCAATTATCTCAAGTGCCTTTCTTAATTATAATTATTAAATATTATCTGTACTGTTTGTCTATTATAAAGGACGTAGATTACCCATGACACCACAAGAAGCAACCAAATACTACGGCTCACGACTGACTGAGTACGAGCGTACTGAAATTGAAAAGTACTCGGAAATTTGGTACTTAGGATTATCAGCGTGTAAAATTCACGGCGAAGATGGTGCCGAAAATAGTGGATACGATGATGATACGGGAAGTTACCACAAAATTCCTCATGATCATATATCTTACAGGTTCGTTAATTAATTTAAAAAAATAAATATTTTTAATAATATTTAATAATAAAAAAAAAATAATATTAAAACAATAATTAAATTTATAACTTTGGTAGATATGAAATATTAGAGGTAATAGGAAAAGGAAGTTTCGGCCAAGTTATTCGAGCATTAGATCATAAAACCGGTCAGCATATCGCCATCAAGATAATCAGGTACATTAAATAAAAATTATTAAAATATCTATTTCTTGATGTAGTGTGTTATATAAATGTATGTTAAATTTATAAATGTTTAATTTAATAGAAATAAAAAGAGATTCCATCATCAAGCGCTTATTGAAGTGAGGATCTTAGATCATCTAAGGAAAAAAGATCTTGACGCTGATTCCCAACACAATGTGATACACATGCTGGAGTACTTTTACTTCAGAAACCATTTGTGCATTAGTTTCGAACTCATGAGGTACTTAAGTTTTAATAATATTAGTTCTATTAATAATAAATAATTAAACAGTTTAAATACGTTAAATATTTATCTAGTATATGTTTTAATATTTATAGATATCAGAAATAATTGTGAAAAAATTATACCTGATTTTCTAATAATAATTTATCCTTGAAAAAAATAAAAAATAAAAAATTATTGAGCGGAATAAATTATAAAAGATATAATTAACAAAACTTAATTTAAAATATATTTACAGCTTGAATCTTTATGAGTTGATCAAAAAGAACAACTATCAGGGATTCAGTCTGAGCTTAATTCGTCGTTTCGCCAATTCACTCATAAACTGCCTGAGATTGCTGCACCGTGAGAACATTATCCACTGCGATTTAAAGCCGGTAAGTTGAAAATAATTCAAGCATTTGTCAAATGAGAATTGCCTAGAGCCTGAGAGCTATGCGTCGTTTAACTTGAGAATTCTTCGATCTCGATATACAACTAAACGGAAAGCTACAAAAACTAATAGAGAAACCCTTAAGGTTATAGCTTGATGTTAAAGCTCATAGTATACGGTTTTATAAATTTTTACGGTGTAAACTTCTTGTACGCACTTATAAGTCTCACTCGGTATTTTAAAAGTATTTATGTGCGTATCTGATGACCGAGACGAAAGTTACTCTACGGTATTCACGCGTATCCATAATATATTTATTTTATTTTACGCAGTCTCTGAGTATTACATCTTTACACTTAAAGTCATGTTATAATCACTAAATTTATTACATTTAATTATATTATTTATCGTATTTATAAGTTTAAATATATGTTTATCGTATTATAAATTCATATATGTATATTAATTGTAATTATATTTTGATTCTAGGAAAATGTTCTCTTGAAGCAGCGTGGCAGCAGTTCAATAAAAGTAATAGACTTTGGTTCATCTTGCTACAGTCATCAGCGTGTTTACACGTACATCCAATCAAGATTTTATCGAAGTCCTGAAGTGATTCTTGGATTACCATACGGTACTCCAATAGACATGTGGAGTCTGGGCTGTATTCTCGCAGAATTACACACCGGATATCCCCTTTTTCCTGGGGAGAACGAAATCGAGCAGCTCGCATGTATCATGGAAGTATTGGGACCGCCGCCAGAATCGTTAATCTCGCACGCCACTCGTCGTAGACTATTTTTCGATTCCAAGGGCAATCCACGGTGTATAGTTAATAGCAAAGGAAGAAAAAGAAGGCCTGGTAATAAGAATGTTGCAATCGCACTCAGATCTAATGACGCACTCTTCATCGATTTTGTCAGCAGATGCCTCGAGTAAGATTACATTTTTTTTTTAATTTTTTTTTTTAATTTATGATAGTGACTGATTAATTAATTAATTTTAATTATTAGATGGGATCCAAAAGAACGAATGACACCGGATGAAGCGATGCGTCACAAGTGGCTCAATACATCCTCATCTTCGCACTTGAGTACATCGTCGTCGGTTGTGAGTTCTATGATTAATTCAACGATAGAGCCAAATCAAACAAGTCACAGTCAATCAGTCTCGGTGAGTGCACCTCGACAACGTGCAATAACGCTAGAGGATGAACAGCAGCAGTATAGTTTATATAGGCTGTACAGAGGTAGAAAGTGCGTATCTAAAATTACGGCTATTGATAATACAGACAATAACACACTTGCGGTTAAAAGTAAACTTAACGGTAGTGCAAGTAGTCATGCTTTAGCAAGTGGAACTCAACCAGCTGCCTCGAGACACGCGTCGACTGGTGACATTGTTGCAAGTCTAGATCCTAATCTCGATGATTCTGGAACTTATCTACCTGCAATACTATGAAATCGCATGTGCGCCAGTCACTTCTGAATGATTTTTCTTTGCTTCAGGATGTTAACTAGCGCACATTTTTTTTTTCGCATCATCCATTGTCCTTGGCTATCAACGGTACCAAGTTTAAGCTTGCTGATCGGGACCACATAATCCATTTCATTATCACTTGACTGTGAGTTCCGACAATAAATACTCTACAGCATAAGAAAAGTAAACCTTGGGCCGGTTTAACGAAGACAACAACGATAAATATAGATTTTTTTTTTTTTTTTTTTTTGTTATAAAAAAACAAAATAAAACGCAACGAGAATAATTCCGGCCTGCGATGATGATAAGAAGTTTTAAGAAGAGAATACGAGAATGTAAAAAATTATAAGGGAATAGAAAGAAAGGAGCTGAGTACAAGATTGTAAAGAACTTAACTGGCTCGACAATTTTTCCCATCAACCGAGATCGAGGTGTAATTACTGTCGTTAGTCACGCAGCTTGCAGTGAGAGTTAAGAGGCTAAAGTAGATCCAGGTAACAGCCTCACGTGTTAAAAAAAAATAATGAAAAAAATCCCAAGGAGAAGACGAGTGAGAGGAAAAAAAATAATAAGTGTCTACATGCATGTTTAATTATGATGGCCAAAATGAAAAAATATATCACTCGGTTAGTTTTGTTTTAAAAGATTATCCATCTGTTTTTTTTTTTTTGTTTTTTTTTTTCTTATAATTCTGAGTGAACAAAAACCATGACAAAATAATGATTCAGATTTTATTTGATTGTATTAAGACTGCTGAGTGGATAACACAAAAATTTTTAAACGTCGTTTAATCTTCCAAATAGTCGAAAATAAAAAAAAAATTCTGCGATCTCGCGATAGACTTGCATACTCGCACATCTCAAAAGAACATATATATCGATTAATGAAAACCCTAGTAATTTTTAAATAACAGGGAAAAGTTAATTGTATCTTATAGTATAATGAAAATTTATAAATGTATCAAACATGATAAATTGAGACAAATCTCAGAAGGCGAATAAGTATGAGCAAATGAACGTGTTTCACGAGGCCTGAGTAGTCTTATTGTGATATTAATCTACCACTGTCTTACTTAGATCTCCGATAAGAATTAACATTTAATTATAATTTTTCTTTAATTACTAACTATATTATTTTATTAGATATATTTTTTTTCGTACTGTCGTCATCGCTATCACTGTGTACGAAAGCAACATTCACAGTTATTAAAAGTCAATAACTGTATCATTATTGAAAAAGTTACTAGTAAAATAAAAGTAATCACCGTAAAATTAAATTAACAAATGATTTAAGTTTTAATTGAGTTAAGCATGCGCTCATATACTTTATTTAGAGAACGAATAAATATATATAATTATATTATTATTATTATTTTTTTTTTTTGCAATTATAATGCCATTTAATAATTTTTTTTTATCTAAGCTCAGGAATGATAAATAAATTATGAATGCAATTACGACCACTGCCTAAGTAACATTCATTTTATATAAAAAAAAAAAATAAAATAAACCGAGGAAGAAAACTAATTTTCGTTTATTAGTTATGAGTAATCTCATTATTTGAATAATTTTTCATTTACTCAAATTGTCAATTAATACATAAGTATTACGTCCAGATTAAACAAATTAATTGTAAATCATGAGCATGATTTTCGTGTTTGATGTTTGATTGTTTAAACTATGTCTTATAAAAAATAACTCGCTAAATTTTTATTGTAATTGTCATAATTAATGTTCTGTAATAAATTATATTTGTTTATTAATAATGTCGTCCATTTGGAATGTAGAATATCTAAAAGAAATGTGTGAAGACTGAAAAACTATGTTGTCTGAAATTGTATATTTTTGTCTCATAATCATTTTACTTTATGTCATACAAGTGTTATAAAATTAATAATAAAAGTAAAAAAAAATAAAAATTGTAAATCGAAATCTGAAGAAAAATTATATACATTCTTCTTACCTAATTGTAAAAAACATCTAAAGTAACTCTCCATAAAAATGTGTTTTTCTTTCTGCATTGATTTGCTGGTAAAAAAAAATCGTCATATTTGAGATTAACTATAATAACTTTTTATGCGGAAGATTACAAAAATTACATTAAAATTAAACTAATGAAAATTTGAAATTAGAAACGAAAATGTCAGTTGTGGCAACAAGATAACTGAATTTTTTAAACTGTAGATCAAATGACTGATCTATTTGTAACGACTGAAATAAAATTAATATTTTAGCTTAAACGTAATTTCAAATAATAAACAATGTTGCTGACATGTGTCGAGCGATGGATTGACATCGAGCTAATTGAAAATAAATAAAAAAAATACTAAAAAAATATAAATAAATAAAAATAACTATATCTTTTCCTTACGGAATCATCTCGTTCTAGTTATTATTATTATTTTTATTATTAATATTATTATTATTATTATTATTATTATACCTAAAGTTAACATGTATTTAATTGATAAGAATTCAGATTTTAAGAGACGTGTTTACAATAAACGAAATATTAAACAAAAAAAAAAACAGAAAAAAAATTGTGTATAAAATATCAATAAATATTACTACCTTTACATGCAGATTGATAATTAGAAAGGAAAAATAATCACGGAATGAAAAATAAAATGAATAACTAGACAATTATACGTAGATTTTAAAATTAGACATAAAGCAAAAATGAAAAAAAAAAAAAAAAATAAAAAAAATTTTTTAATATCAAGGAATTAAATCAATAAGCGGAATCCTAAATAAAGGGGGACGATACTCTCGTATATTTACAGTTTATGTGCGGGATCAAAATATGTGTATAAATAAAAAGAAAAAAAAAAAGCAAAAAAAAAATAAATAATGTATCTACTTTAAACACTTACTGTCATGATATCAATACAATCTTTACGTATGCCTATTCTAATTCTAATAACTAATATAACTCCTAACAAAAGAATGATAATAACTGTATGAATTCTTTCTAAATAAATCTCTGTAGCGTGCAATATATTGATAGATAATACATGAAAAAAAAAAGGTTTAAATAAATTTAAATAATGTAAATGGTAACAGAGATTTATTTAAAACAGCTGAGGTATAAAAAACCTTGAAGACTAGTCCTTTTGGATAACGATGATGATAATGATAATGTATTAGACGCCTATCTACCTAATGTGCTTTATATACTCGTAACTCGTAACAATTGATATATTAAAAATACTTCTGTACTGAAAACTAAATTATTATAATACTGAATTAAATATAATGAGAATATATGCATTAGTTAATAATTCACGTTTTATGTACGTATGTAAGTGTGGGTTAGTGAAAATTAATTTTAGATAGTGATAATTGTAGACGTATAATAAACTCTCCCTCTCTTTTTTTTTTCATTTTTATTAATAAAAATCGTAATTATTTTTTTGTAAATTTTTTTTACAAAAATTCTTAAATTTTTAACTAAAATAACTTTAGACTAATGAAAAAAGAAAAAAAAATTAAATCCAATATAAAGGAAGAAATAACGGCGATAGAATTTGTTAGGACAATCAATTTCAAATTTAGAATTATTAATTAGAATAAATATTTTAGTAATTAAATGTTTGAAAATATTAATAAAAAAAATAATAATAAATGCTGCCTACTAGAGGGAGAGTTTAAAGTCATGACTATGGATGGACATAATGTGACTCGAATCATTATTGAAAAATTGTGTAACAATCGGCCTCAAAAACTTCTGGTGGTCCTATAATTAATTGTGTGTCTTTTTTTACAGCTGTCAGACGAGCTGAAAATAAATCAAAGGAAAAAATAAAAAATACAAGTTAAAGAATTAAGCACTTCCATTAATTAAATCAAGTGTCCGGTAATCTGGTCATGATGTAGTAAAAAAAAAAAAAATAAAGTAAAATGAGAAAATGTTATTCACACGTTGTGAAATGGATGATTTTTTAAAATAAAATAAATTTGTGATTTATAAATGTAATAGATTTTTTTTAAAAGCTTTTTTTCTACCACAAAAAAGCTTGACCCGATATCTGTGTATAATTACGAGAGAAGTCGTCTATTTCCGCCTGACTTGAATGTAATATAATAATGAAGAATTGATATAATTGTAATGTTTATTATTATATATAAAAAGAAAAAAAAAATGAAAATGACGTATAGTGTGTAATAATATGATACTAAAAAGCATCATCATCTTTTTGTATCATTTGTTTGTTTGTTTTATTATTATTGCTATCATATTATGATTACTATAAGTTAATTATTATCTTACTGCGTTTGTCTTTCATTATCAATGTAGAGACAAGTTCCAACAGCATGTTTGACATGTTTGTGACCTGTCTTATATTTAAAAAAACAAAAAAAAACCGAATAAAATAATTACGAACTATAATAAAATAAATATAAATAAACAGTTGTAGAAAATATACATTTACAAAATACCATTAAAATATTAGATATTAATTAATATCAGTATAATCATTTATTTGTGCGAGAATATTTCATATTAATAATAATTATAATAAATATTTAAGCCCATTACTATAGAAAATTAATTCCCTCTAATAATAACATCACTTTGATCTTTTTCTTCATCTATACATTTTTTAACAATCTCAAATTCATTCCTCATGGAATAAGCATGGTAACAATAAAAATATTCTGATCAATATCAACTACAGCTATCATTTTTAATTGATAGCTTAAGCTTAAGTAACATTTTCACGTAGCATATGTTTAATATGTTGCCTTGAAGAATCATGATAAGCAGCGGCACCCGCTCGTAACATTTCTTCATGTAAAAAAACATCGTGAGGCGATGGCAACGTTGATAATGACGGCAAATTTGGCAATAAATTCAGCATACTTGCACTATTTTCCGATGAATAAAGTCCATTGTTTGGTGGTCCCAGGACTAGTGGATTAGCAGCGGTAATTGGTTCACTTCGTGGATGAACCTCAGATCCAGGTGTCAAAATGTTACCTGATAAATGAAGAAATAATAAAATTTAATATTTATAATTAAAATGTAGAATAAGACTAGAATTATTTTTAAATTTTACCAGGAAAATTAGAAGACAGTGAGCTGACAGTTGAGGTGAGAGATAGTGGATTGAGTGATGAAAAATCAGAATTGTCATTTGTGATTGCCGTTCTCAATTGACTTTGATGGATACGAGGTACCATTGTTGGTGATTGAAAATCATGTTTACGCCGTCGTATACGCACCGTCGGTTTGTTATTATTTCCAGCACCAAAATGAAGGAGTTCAAGGTGACGACGGAGGTTTCGAGATTGACGTAAAATTGCACCGCACAATGGACATTTGGTTGGTTGGTCAGATACACTTTTACCTTTGGAATGTCCATCTAAAATTCAATTTCACATAAAGCGATAAAACACTCAAATATTATTTTAAATCATTTTTCCTAAATAATTTATTTAAAAAGGATTTAATTATAAATAAAATATTACTTTTGTATCGTTATGATATATTTATTTACAAATGCATCGAAATAAATGATACAGTAGTACTCATTTTACAATAATTAAATTATTATATGCGGTGACATGGTTTACTTTTTCATTAAATAATATTAATATAATATTATAATTGATCATTCATATAAAAATGTTTTACACTTAATATATAATTCTTCCAAAGTTTTATTTCGTCGTTTTTTATTTTTAAAATCATTTTGGCAACTGAACTCACATCAAGCTAACAAAATTGAATCAACATTAACTCATCAATTATTATAATTAATAATATATCTACTAAATAACAATAAAAAAAAAAAAACGGTAGATTATAAAAAAATTTAATGTAAATAAAATACAATATAAAACAAAAATAGTTGTGAAAAGGCATAACATATACAGTTAGCCGTAATTTTTTACTCATATAATTTTTATGTAATATATTCAGATAAACTAATCTTTTGACCGTAAGTAGAAATTTATTAATTATTAAGAATTAATAATGTAATTTTATAAACCTATAAATATGTTGAATTTAATGACACTGAAGTTGACAGACATTAGAAATTTTTTTAGAATTTTTTAGCAACGAAATTATTATGAAAAAAAAATTTAATAAAAAAGTTTCACATGTAAAAATTAAAAAAATTGTTTGGTGATAATTTTTAGAAGCATTTTTTTTATTGTTATTGATTTGTAATAAAAATTTAAAAAATTGACAACTGTCAGCTAACTTGAGTACCATTGAATTCAACATAAAAAATAAAAGCTTGAGAAGAAAGTTTACCAATATTAAATTTTCACATTTTTAAATTACTGAATTTAAAAAAAATTGTTTCTCAATAGATTGAACAAAAGAATTAAAATTATGGATCTCATCTGGCAATAGTTTCCGATATATTTTGATGAGGTGACATATTGTTAGAATTGTGTGTAGGTGACGGTAGTGGACTTGGATGGCACACAATTTGTTCACAGCTATTACTTTCACCGCTATCATTGCCATGATTTTGTCCGCTAAATGCACCTATTTCTATTTTCGGTTCAATATCCACTACAACATGGTCAGTCGATTGTTGTAACGTGTGAAAACTATTCAGTCGATACTTGCATGATGACAATAAATGCCTGCGTAGATTTCTTGCTTGTCGTAACGTTGCTCCACAGAGCGGACAAATTCCTGGACAATCAGATGCACCACGGACTTTTAGTGTTGATGAACTTGTTGTTGGTAATGGAAAACCTGGTAAAGCCATGCTGAGTGACCCGGAAAATGTAGGAATGTGCAATGATGAGTACTGTTGTTGCATGGCCATTAATGTTTGTAGTGAAGGTTTTATATCAGTGAAATTATCCGCCGTTAGTGCTGTTTGAACCTCCGTGACTGTTAATGACGATGGTATGTGTGCTCCTGTGCTTGTGATCCAGTCGTTGGTTGTCCGGTGATTAGAAAATTTTGACCGCTCGCTTGCTGTTAACAGACACAAACACAATGTTTACCATACAGGGCTGAACTGTTATTTATTTGATTAAATAATAATTCATAATTATTTATTCTAGCTATTGTATCAAGTATCTGTGAGTTAGGCAATGCTTAATGCAGTTCAACCCAGATTGATGGTTGTGCTTGTGTCCGTTTGATTTTTATCATAAATTATACAACGCGGACACAAAACACAAAATAAAAGTACCTTAATATAATTTTTAATAAATACAAAATTCATTGTAATGATCTTACCATCGTCGGCATTAACACTAGTCTCCTCATTTTTTTGATCACAATCGGTAGTTCTATCGTCATCACCATGACCATCATGTCGATCCTCAGTATCAGTCGCTGTATCTATTTTTGCCCATTTACCAGATGAAGATGATGATTTTCTTCTTCTCTTTTTTCGACGATTTATTGGAATACTTGAATTCATTATTTCCCGTGTTACTGGTTCAGTAACTGTTGGTATTGCTGTAGGAGGAACTTCTTCACCATTCTGTTGTGAATAGAACATTCAATATTAAAATAAAATTTAATTATTAAATAATTCTAAATAACTTTGGCCTCATCAATTAAGTTCAAACTTTTTTTATATTAAGGGGGGAAATACGTGTACGAGCTTAAAACTATTCAAAAATGGACTCTGTTATGCAATAGTGTGTTAAGTACATAGGATTTCCATAGCACTTAACACATTAATGCATAACAGTGTCCAAATATAGATTGAAAATTTCAAGTCAAAATTCCTATTTGTTCAAAAGTTATAAGCGATTTAGTAATTACTTAAATACTATTTTACATTAACTTTTTCTGGTCACTTTTTTTTCAAACACGTTTTTTTCGAAACGATTTTTTTCAAAACTGTATACAGATGCAGTCTAGCTCAAAGAGTTTTAAACCAATCTTCTTGCGATATGGCTTTTAATTTTCTTTATACAATTACCTTGAATATGAACCTCAATCGAAAGTGATATTTTTATTTAAACTATTTTTTTTTAATAAACATGTTTGAAAAAGTGGTAAAAAATCACGACTTAATTTCATAGCCCTCTAAAAAATGCAAATTTTTACTTTTTTTTTTTTTTTTTTTTTTTTTTTTTTTTTTTGATTTTTTTTAATTGAGGTTCAATATGGTAGATACACATATAAATGAAGTAATTTTTCTGTGCCATTGATTTCAAATAAAAATTGTGGCTTCCATACTGCAGACAGACTGCTAATTGTTAACTCCGCTATTTGTTAACTTATATTGTTGTTTAATACGAAAAAATAATCATATGTTGAATTCTCTGATTCAAAAATGAATTTAGTTTAAAATATTTCTTTAGTGAAAATACTCTTTGTGTAAGCGAGAGTATTTCTCTCTATTTTGTAATATTTGGAAAACCTTGTTTTCAAACATGTGCATGCAGGATGTTTATGTAAGCCTGTAAGAAATGAATTTTATGACTCTGGGAACTTGGGTCAGTTAAGAGGACCTTTTTTTTTGTTACCCGTTAAAGTACTAGCTATACATATATATTTATGTCTTAGTTGAAAGTAATTTTTTTTATATATAGTTTAAGTTTACTTTAAGGAAAATAAGGAGAGGTTACTAGACCTCAGTATTAAATAGTTACTAAGATATAAGTTAGTCTAAGCAAAACCTTTGAAACGTAAAGACCAATTTCTTTCAACACGATCTCTTAAATAAAGAGATTATTTTAACTATAATATACATATTGCGTTTAATTAAATTATTTATTTATCACGATTATCCCTATAAATCCAACATCATAAATATATGTATAAAATAACCTGATAGTTTCAATAAATAATATTAATTTTTTATACCTTAAAAAAATTAATGAAAATCAGCATGAAAACGGCCATCTACACGTATTTTTCCCCTTAAGTTAAAATTCTTTAAATGTAAAAAAATCTATGGAATAAGAATATTAAAAAAAATATTCAATCAATGTCTTTGAGGCCAAAATAATTTCGGTTGATTGTAATTTAACAAGGTAATTTTTTTAGTAATAATTACTTCAGTTAATATTGTCGGAGATGCGAGTCCATTAATACTCAAACAATGTGCTGCTTGTAGCAATGAAGGCAATTGTGAAGGTTCAACACTCACTTCACCTTTATAAACAAATTCTAACAAAGATTCTAAATCGTCAGAGCTTACTCCAGCAAGCAAAACAACTGGATGTTCACATGGTGTACTCTGAAAAATAAATTATTGTAAATTTTGACTCCAGATTTTATACCAATGGTAAATAATGAGTAAAAATGAAATTCAAACTTTACCTTGAGCAAGTTTAATAAAAAAGGACTGGCAGCCGAGAGAACTATTTTGTGTGCTGGATAAGTACGACCACCAGCCGCCAATGTTACATCGACAAGATCACCATGTCCTCTAAGTAATTGCACTGCTGAAGTTAGCGACGTGCTAAATTCACCCCAAGATAAACTGTATAATTGAGCACTGCTCCCCATCCTGCAAAAAAATTATATTAATTAATTTATTTCCTCGGTAATGTTATTTTACAAACACATTTATTTATATTAATTTTTATATTTATTGATTGAAAATTGAAAATCAAAACACTAGGTAATATGAAAACTTACAATAATAATTTTTTCTTTTAAATAAAATGACTTTTTTTGTTGTTTTTAACAAAAGTAAACTCTTAACGTAAGACAAGGAAAGTTCCGTATCCCACCATTACTTAATTATTATCCCCACCCAAATGTAAAGAAATCATTCGGCGTCGTCGTTTTTATAACAAAAAAAAACTTAACCCAACTATTCTAAGAAAACAAGTGTGACTAAATAAATGTATTTTTTAACAACTTATAAATATAAATAATACGCACACTATGCATAACTTACCTGCAATTAGGATAATTATTTTACACGGTGAAAGTATCTATCTCTAAATACAAAAAAAGCTCTCTAGGTTAAATTGTATCACAAAGTTTAAACTGGTTTATTATTGTTATATTTTTTATCAACTTGATTGTACACTTGGATTATATTGATGTAATTAACTATATTATTTATATGTGTATCTTACATTTATTATAATTACAAATTGATGAAAATGACAAAATATAAGCACAACAAAAGGTTGTCAAACCACTGTAGGAACAAAGTCTGTGTTCTATTCTGTCTCTCTGTTGACTGCGTCGAGTGTCACATTATTAGTATATAATTCTTGAAGGTACAGATGGCGATACTTGCTATTTTTGTCTTTTAAATGAAAATTTTAATAAACAGACCGTAATTGACAGGTCACAGAAATTACGTACGTAAATATATCTTCCTCTGAGAAGCTAAGAAGAATTAATTATATTATACTCGATTTTTACTTGTATACCGTTTCTTTGGTTTTAACAATGACATTAAAATTAGCAGTCGTTTGACAATTTTTTAAATTTTAATAAATAAATAAATTATGGCAAAAAAAATTATTAAAAAAATGGACTTGCAGAAATTTTAATAAATTAAAAATGCATTTTTTTAAAAATAATTTTTTAGAACAAATTTTCTTGTTACTACGAAGGATTTTTTCATCTGAGCATTACAGTTGATCATATATTTGCTTAATTAAATTTACAATTTTGACCGTTTTGTTACATGCAAAAAAATAGACTCGCAACGTACTGTTTTGTTAAATTTTTTCGGATGTCGTAGTTTTAGCATATTTTGAATCATTCTGTGGAAGAAATTTCTTGTTAAGAATTTTTACCAAATAAGGTCTTTATTTTGCCTCTTCTCAACTGGACTATATACATAGATCAAGTTTAGATATAATTGACAGACTGAATATAAGATAAATTTAGTAAAGAATCTTAGGAAATAAAATAATTTTTGCTGCACTAGACTCATTCGGGTGCGCACACGACTCAGTCTGGTGTAACCTAATTTTTCTTCCATTTTTTCTTGTACACGACTGAATCTGGTACAGAAAACGAACCAGTCTAAGTCGGGTTTCATTTTTTCCGTGTTGATTCCTAAAATTAAATTAAATTCTAAAGTTGTAAAGGAGCTTATCCTGTAGCTGCTACGATTTTTTTTCCGTGTACATAAGTTGACAGGAATAAATTTATGAATAATTAGTAACTATTCTAATATCTAAATAATTTATCAAATGAATAACTATTTTTTACACATTTCATCATTGATTGCATGAAATCTACAAATCTAGTGTCTTTACGTTTATCCAATCCTCTCCAAACACGATTCTTTATCACTGCTACAAACTCGCGATTATTCAGTTGTCCATCCACTGAAAAACATCCAATAAATCCATCAATACATAATATCGACGGTCTAATTAGTAATTTGTCCAACTCCATATTTTTTAGAGGGTGATTTTTTTAACATTTAGATGTAGCCATAATCAAATTATAAATAATTTGAATGATTCAAACCTAAATATTATATCTCTAATAGACAATAATGATATTAAATGGTTTTTTAAAGTGATAATGAATTTTGAACTAATTGTTTTTTTTCGTACAAATAGAAGATTCTCTAAAATGGAGTTAGACAATTTACTTATTAGAACGTCGATATATAAAATTAAAAGAAAATGAAATAAAAAAAATTACTCACAATTTTCATCAAAAATAGTATAGACGACTTGAATAAAATGATCACTCAATTCAAGGTGTGCTATTGTACGCATTACATGTTTCAAGGTAGCTTGATCAATAGACGCGCCGGCAATACGATAAAATGTCAAAGCTGTAGCGACATCATTAATGTTATTTAAAAAACTGAAGAATTTTAAGTAGTCTTCTTTGCTGACTCCTTGAGGATTATCTTTGAATTGTTTCTTCACTCTCTTTCGTATTTTCATTCTTTCATCCTCTGAATAATCCTCGTGGGCTAGCAACAGTTCTGTGAAATCTGTTTCTGTTATCTTACCATTTGCATCAGGATTGCGACGTTCGAACTGCAAAATATAATTCAATCAATACTGAATTGATAATCGAATTAATAATTGGTACTTTACCTCAAGACTCAAAATTTCTTTTTGTAACTGTTCTTGAAAGTCGAGAAACTTTTCGATTGTCAATTTCTGGTCCATTTTGGATCCAAAGAAGTAAGTGATCAATGCTGAATTAACTCCTTTGTAGATGTTACCAGTGTTAGGATTGTCGCAGTGACGGATTCTGGTACTCGTTTGCCATGTTATTAATGTTGCGACTTTTCTGAACTCTTTGGAATCAACATCTCCGTCGCCATTGAAGTCAAACATGCGGAAAGCTATTTCCAAATGCCTTCTTGATGCTAAAATTATTCAATTAATTAATTAATTATATTATTGCTTAGCTTAAGTAAATAAATAATAGGAAAACGGAATAATAGAAATGGTAATTACTTGAAAGGATTGTCAGTAAGAAAATGTAATCTGAGAAGCTTATCAATCCAGCGCTACCAAGTTTATAGAAAATACTATCTTTCTCTACTTCTAATTCCAATTTATTATGGACGTTCTGAAATAAATAAAGAATTTATTAATTAATTAATTAAAAAATTTATTATTATTATTATTATTATTATTATTATTATTATTATTATTATTTAAATGAAAATAAATCTTTAACGATAAATGTAAAATGCAGAATTTGTTACTTATTTTTTCAGAAGATAATAATAATAATGAATTAATAATAATGGTATTTATTACTGATTATAATTATAAGATAATTTACCTTTCGATTAATTCGTTTGTATTGATCTAATCCCAAACCTAAAAAAAAAAAAATCATGTCTGTTCATGTCTGTTCATGTCTGAAGCATTGAATATGCTGAGACCTGATCAGACCTGCCCATGCCTGTTCATGTATATACGCTCAGACCTGATCAGACCTGTCCATGTCTGATCATGTCTGTTCTAGCCTAATAGAAAAGGATTAAAACTCCATATATCAGCTGACAAGAACTGTTCATGCATGATTTGCCCTCTTAAATGATATTTTAAATCTGGAAAAAAAATTTTATCGAACTATAGACTGCAGTTCTATTTTTAAAATTAATTTGTTCCGTATGACGTATCAGTTTCTATCCCCTTATAAATTTTAAATGTAAAACTTTCATTAAAAATTTCGGCTTATATAAGCATGAACTTTTTAATTTTCCATGCCAAAACGATGATTTTTAACGATGAATTTTGACGCAATGACATAAAATTTTTTACTGTGTTCCATTGAATACGCGAAAAATAAGATTATTTAGTAAAAGTTTGAGTTTGATAACGTTAAAATATACCAAAATATGTCAGTTGATATCGATAAGTCCTTTCAAGGTGTCTGCTATTATCTTAAGCTACACCTTGGTCTATTGCAGTAGTGTCAAAGGCTTTTAAATTGTAGAACACACAAATAATTCTTCATTTCCTATACGTTTTTATTAAAAAAAAACTTCAATTTTTAAAGAAAACAATAAAATTATAATTACGGAATAAACCTTGAAGAAATTGTTTTTTTTACTTTACATAGAACCATATGTTAATGGAGCGAATAAAATATATAGCCGTTCCAAATAAATCACTCTAATATACACTCTAATATATATAATTATATTAGAGTGATTATATTAGATAACAGACATGAGCAGGCATGAACAAGCTTGATCAGGTCTGTTCAGGTCTGAGCGTATTTAATGCTTCAGACATGAACAGGCATGGACAGGCTTGATTAGATCTGATCAGGTCTGAGCGTATTTGATGCTTCAGACATGAACAAGCATGAACAGGCTTGATCAGGTCTGATCAGGTCTGAGCGTATCTAACGGTTCAGACATGAACAGGTCTGATCAGGCCTAATTTCAGGCCTGATCATACCTGAACAGGCCTGATCAGGTCGGATTTCAGGTCTGATCAGATATGAACAGGTCTGATCAGTCCTGATCATTTTTTCCCGGGTAGACACTTGAAGAGTCGCAAAGTAACGGAATACTTTGTCAGATGTTGAGTAATGACGTATACGGTTTTCATATTCAATTATCTTGAAATTTAATTACGAGATGCAATTAAGTCTCATGTAAAAACAAAGTACTTGCAATTATCCTACGTGTCTCGCACTTCGAGATTACGTAGGTAGTCCCACTACTTTCATGTTACTTACCACACATTTAGAGCTTTTTTTTTTTTTTTTTTTTTTATATCACCTGATCTGACTATCACGACGCTGTTCCGTTGTTATTTTCTCATTCATTTCTTTTGTGTCAAACAAACCACACGTTTGAGCATAATTGTGTAATTTTACTTAATTTATTGAGTTTATTTTAATTTTGGGTTATTATGGGGCATAAGAAACGTTCGAGGAGTCGTGAAAGATCTAGTGAAGAAAGATATTCAAAAAGATTGAAGAAGGTCGAAGAAAGAGTGGATGATATCTTTGCGAGTATTTAATCGCTTCGAGATTTATTTTCATCAAAGGGAACAAATGAAGAGTTTATAGATCCTATCGAAAGTCCTGGAGGTAATTTTTATTTTGACAATATTGATGAAGTCCGGGAGGCTTTAATCATTAATTAAGCACGAGATGCATAATTATATGACAAGCCCGAGAGGCATAAATTAAATAATTATTTATTTCTTTCTCTCTCTTTCAAAGTTTTTTGTCTATGTGACAGTCATTCAAATTTTATTGTTTTACCCGAGAGGTATAAAAAATTTTTTGTGCAAAATATTTTGATTTTACCTGAAAGGTTTAATATAAACATGAGAGAAAGTATTAAAAAAAAAAAAAAAATTCAGTATCACTGAGTTTTTCAAGGCTAAGACCATGTATTTTTTGTAATTCCATAGATGATTCTGGACTTGTTCCTCCGGGTGATCCAGATGCGAAGGTTGCAGACTCATCTGAGGAGACAGACTCTGGTAGAGTGGTTAATGATTCTTCTAATAATACTGATTCAACATCTCAGGAAAATTCTTCGAAGAAAGAATCGGAGAAAAATACGGAAGTTCCTGTTATTGATCTTGATCCACCTCCAAATATTACTGCTAATTCTGCTCCTACAGCCAAAACTACGGAACTTACAGCCAAAACTACGGATTCTACTCAGGTAGAAGGGAGAAGAGTTCTGAGGATATTCCGTGGGCCCTCGATGATACTGTTCTTGAGATTATGGGTGCTGAGCCGGCTGCTGATGAACCTCAGTTAGTTTTACACTCGAGTGTAACAAACCGTTGGAAAAAATATATTACAGACGGTCTTAAAAAGGAGGATAAAGAATCGTTATTAAAAAAATACCCGAGAACTGGGAAGTTTTCACTAGAGCCTCCTATTCTTAACAACGAAGTATCGGGAAGTCTGAAGGAGTCCGCGGTAAAGAGAGATACCTATTTTTACTGGACACAGAAGCTTGCGGGTTCGGCATTGTCAGCTCTTTCTCCAGTCATTGAGTCTCTTGCGACGTCTAAGGCTCCTGAAGATGTAAAAAGATTGGATAATGTCTGGGCTGCATCTAAAATGCTCATTGAAATACATCGTTCGCAGACTGTTGTGCGTAAGGCTTGTATTCTTCCTAATCTTTCAAAGCAGTGGGCCTCAACTCTAGAAAAGCGCGTTACTGATAACTATCTTTTTGGAGATAAGTTGGCTGATAAAGTCAAGGAAGTTAAGGCAATGGGAAAAGTAGGCGAAGAAATGAAATTTTCTCTATAGAGATACCCAAGAAAAATTTTTCAGCACAGTCGTCTTTAAACTTCCGGAGCTTATGTCTCCTTGTAGATTGCGTCAACATCCTCTAGCATCAAAGCTTACCCTGGTTGCCGCCAGGCTATCAGCGAAGCGCTTATAAATAGAGGGACACCGAAAGAAGCAGTTGATATCATGATAGCTTCACTGGAGGAATCTACTATTAAACAATACAATGGGACGTTGAAATTATGGTGGCATTGGAATATTCAATGTGATGAGAACCCTTTGATAGTTTCATCTGAGAAAACGCTAAAATTTCTGACCGAGAGATTTGACAACGGTATCGGTCATAGCTCTCAATTCTGCCAGAGCAGCATTACCGCTGATTTCTAACGAAAGTATTGGCGGTAATCAATTAATTAGCAGATTTATTAAGGGTTCATCAAAAATAAGGCCAAGTCTACCGAAATATGACGAGACCTGGGATGTTGATCCGGTTCTTTCTTTAAAAAAGCTAACTGAAAAATTAGTCGTACTTTTGGCATTGGGAACTGCCCACCGGGCACAAACTCTGTCTTTAATTAAGATTTCAAATATTAATACGTTGGAAACTCGAATAGAAATTCGTATATCGGACAGGATAAAAACATCAAAGAAGGGAAAAGTTCAACCGGTACTTAAAATCCCCTTTTTTCGTGAAAAGCCGGAATTATGTATTGCTAACACCTTGAATAGATATTTAGAAGTTACTAAGGATAAGAGAAATGGTAATGATTCCTTATTTATTTCATACCAAAGTGCTTTTAAAGAAGTCAAGAGTGAGACAATTAGTCGATGGATCCGGTCAGCCTTGGTGGATTTGGGAGTAGATAAAAAATTTACGGCTCATTCAACCCGGCATGCATCTACTTCAAAAGCTTTTGAGAAAGGTGTATCAATTGAGGAGATCAAGAAGGTTGCTGGATGGTCAGAGCACTCTCAAACTTTTGCAAAATTTTATCAACAGCCAATTAAATTAAGAATTGACAGTTTCGCATCAACAGTTTTAAATGCTTCTTGATCTGTTGCATAATTTTTTCATTCTTTGTTTTTTAAGTGTTTGAAACTAATATTTTAAATTTAAAAATTTCTTCTTTCACTGAGTTATAATTATATTATACATAATTTATTATTATTAATAAATGATGTTGCATTTATTTAAAATTTTTTAATTTCAAGATACGGCGTAAGCTCTGAACAGCTACCTACGTAATCTCGAAGTGCGAGACATGTAGGATAATTGAAAAATCAAACGAGTCGGCCGAAGGCTGGCGAAGTTCGATTACAATTATTCTAGTGTCTCGCACGAGAGATTCCCTCCCTATAAAATAAATTTTATCCCTAACCCAAAGGATAAAATTAAAAAATTGCTGTGAACGAATAAGAAAATAACAACGGAACAGCGTCGTGATAGTCAGACCAGGGCAGGACGGGCACTCCGGAGAGTCGTCATGCCTAAAGCGGTGAAGATAAGCCCGAAAGCAGCCATGTCCTGACAACATCTGTGTTAGGTAGTAGTTGACCTCACCGTGATTCCGGTTCAGCCAAATGTCAATCTTTGGTATGAGACGATGCGTCCATCTACCCTTCTCTGCGGTGTGTGTGTGTGTTTTTTTTTTTTTTATGCTGTGCCGTCTTTGTTCCGTTCTGAGTTCTTCTGCAATCAGTGTTGTTGACCTCTTTCGTTGGTAAAAGTTCCGTCTTTCTTCAGCTAGGACTCTGAGAAATAGAGTTCCAGAAATGACGCACACTGCTTCCTCAGAGATTGTGGGGAAGGTGCAAGCTACTCTAAGGGCACTCAGACGATATACTGGTCCAGCCATTCTCCATGCTTCTTGTAATTCTAGCACATCAGCCCAAATGGATATTCCGTACGTAAGCACTGATGTAACTACAGTTGCCAACAATAGTCTCCTACAGTGCTTTGGGCCTCCGACGTTCGGCATCAGTCGTGC